AGAATAAAACATTTTCTAACAGAGACCTGGGGGCTGCCATCACTACTTCATTCTGCAAATGCTGGTTTCCTGGCTGTCATATTTAACCTTCTGCTTTGATACTCTTACCTATCTCTTACCTGGAACAAGTATGCAGTTATGTGGTAGTAGTTAATCACATTATACTGGACTAGTTCTGTAATGTTGAAAATGTCTTGTAACTCACTTCTTAATGGGTACAGATACCTCAATGAAATCACCATGCAATGTGTAGATGCTGATGGTCTTTCCTCCCATTCTGTTCTTGTACAATCATCATCTACACATTCCATAATGATTGTGGTAAGGTTCCTGTGCTACTTATGTGGATATAAATGTTGGGGGGGTTGTTCCTATCACTCATTAGAACCTAAGAAGCAGCTTGGATAAGCTACAAAATGTCTTCAACATTACAGTACAAGCCAAGTTGAATATGACTACTGTCTAGCTAATACTAGTCATACTCAACTTGACTTGTTCTGTTATGTTGAAAACATTTCAACATTCATCCAAGTAGCTTCCTCAACTCAACTATGATGATCATTTGGTTGAGTGGCACAGCGTCCAGCTGAATGCGACTGACTGCTACTAGATAGTAGATACCTTGACCTAGATACATGATAACCCTTATTATACAGGATTTATATAGCGCCAACAGTTTGTGCAGCGCTTTCCTTATAGACATGTATTCAAATAATGATGTGTTACTTTACAGGTCCACATACCGGTGCCATTGGCTTGAACCCTGCTGGACCCAGTCAGTCAGTGTACTAACCAGACATAGAGAAGGGGACTGTTAATGGCAAATGGCAACCCAGGTAGCTGAGGACGGTATTTGGGTCAGGGTCGAAATGTCTTTAACATTACAAAACAAGCCAAGTTGAATATGACTACTATTAGCTATATCATGCCCTGGATACACGAGAACCTTTATTGACGTGTATGCAAATAAGGATATCTGACTTTCCTTTGACTTACAGATCTGCATGCTTGTGCCGTCAGCCGCATCTTGCTGAACCTAGTTGGTTAGTGTACTAATCAGACAACTAGAAAAGGACCCAAAAAGCTACGAAAGCTACTTGGGTGAGTGTTGAAACATCTTCAACACTGGAGAATGAGCCGAGTTGACTATGACTACTATTAGCTATACCATGACCTGGAAACCAGAGATCCTTTACAGACAAGTATGCAAATAATGATGTCTGACATTACAGATTCACATGCTTGTGCCACTGAATTGAACCTTACTGAACCAGGTCAGCCAGTGTACCAATCAGACAACTAGAAGGGGTTTTCCAATGACAAATGACAAGCCAGGTAGCTGAGGAAGGTATTTGGGTCAGTGTCAAAACGTCTTCAACATTACAGAACAAGCCAAGTTGAATATGACTACTATAAGCTATCTCAAGTCCTGGATAATGTAAACCTTTACTGACATATATGTAAATAAAGATATCTGACTTTACAGATCTGCATGCCATTGACACCATACTGAACCCAGTTGGTTAGTGTGCTAATCAGACAACTAGAAGACAACTAGAGGAGGACTTTCAATGGTGACCCAAGAAGCTGAGGAAGCTACTTGGGTGAGTGTTGAAACATCTTTAACATAACAGAACAATGCAAGTTGAATATGACTACCATCAGCTTTACCATAACCTGGATACATGAGAACCTTTATAGACAAGAATGCAAATAAGGATATCTGACTTTCCTCTGACAGATCCACATGCCTATGCCATTGAATGGAACCTTACTGAACCCAGGCGGCCTATGTACCAATCAGACAATGAGAAGGGGATTGCCAGTGGCAGCCCCCATGTGTCTCTTATCAAAGCTTTCCTTTAAGCCACCACAACACCCAAGTTTTTGTTCTTTTTCCAGAAAAAATGGAATCAATGGCTTTCCATTCCAAGAAATGACACCCTGCAGATGTTAATGAAATGCAGCTCTTTTTCCCCCTTGTGACCCCCCCTTCCCCTCTCCCCTATAGACAGCTTGTCCACGCAGTGACTTTACAGTATAATATCTCCACATGGGACATCATGCCAATCCTTCCACTACAAAGCAGCTCTCCTAGTTGAACAGGCTGAAAGGATCTAGTAGGAGAAACGTGCCTGGCTGAACCACCCCCTTGAAATCCATCAGACAATGGGGGCTTTTTTTTTTTTTGCAAGACTGCAAATTGCATTGAAGGGAACTGCAATAGCAGCGAGGACAACCTCAGGCAGGGTAACCCTAGGTGGGGGGTGGGCTGTACAGATGGCACTTGGGGAGCCAGCATCATTAGGCACACACAGCGCTACGGTCAAAGGCAGCGCTACTCACCAGCACCACCGCAAATCGCTCCTCCAGTTCACCTGGCTCGGGCATGGGCAGCTTTAGGGGCATATTGTGCGCCTTGAATTCAGTCTGGTTAGAATCCATGCTGCCTGCATTCCCCATGATGTTGAAGCTTCTCCACCTCCACCTTTCCAGAGGAAATCAGTCCTTCTCCTTCTTCTCCTCCACCTCCCCCGTGCGAGCGATCTCCCTCCCCAACCGGCGTCCAGCTAGTCCTGGATCTGGGGTGGGGGGCTCCCGATACAATAGATCCCGAGGCTCCTTCTTCTAGCACACTGGCAGCTCTGCCACCTTCCTGGCCCTGGGTACCCTCCAGAAAAAGCCCGGCTCGGTTCCTAGACAAGGGCTGCGAGGCACGGATGGCATCTGCATGTTGCACAATTTGCACACCACTCCCCGCTCGGTGCTGCTGCTGCTGCTCAGTGAGAGGAGCACAAGAGGCTCAGGGGCAGCCAGTGTGAACACAACATGGAAACTCCCTTTATTGTCCAAGGGAAGGGAAAAGCTCCCTCTAGTGATCCAGGCAGAACTGTCTCCGGTCAGGTGAAGGTAGATGCTGCTGATGATGCTGCTGATGGTGATGATGCTGATGATGCTGTTATGGGGTGAGGACAGACTGATTGACAGCTTCGGCTCATCAATCTGCCACTGTTAGGATGCAATCAGGGCTCTGCTTGGAATCAGTGCAGGGCACGTCACTGTCTCAGGACCTCCAGCTCAGCCTGAAGGGAAAAAATATATTAAAGTGAAAATTCAGCAAATGAGGGCATTGAATCACCCAAAAAAATCAGTTGTAAAATGTTGACACCCAGCTCATTCATCTACTACTTCAAGTGACACTAAGGGGGCTAGCGAACATCAGCTATGAGGAAATGTGACAAAGGTTACACTTGTTCACTCCTGAGAAGAGGTGTGTAAGAGGAGATATGATCACAATGTATGTGTAAAAATGTGCCAAAAAACTCAGAAATTAAATCTTTAAAATGCTTTAAAGTACATTAACTGTTAACAAAAATGTATCTTATTTGTGAATCACTCAGCTGTAGATCCTCAAATCATCCAGCTCCATCCATCTACAGCTTAAAGTGACACTAAACTCAGAATGTATTTTTAAATCTTAAAAATACATTTAAGTACCCTATTAACAAAAATTTATCTTATTTGTGTATCACTCTGCTAAAGATCCACAAATCATCAGAACTGGTGCTGACACTGTCCCTTCCTTCCGGAGGGGGGCTACTTTTGTTCCCCATGGTCCCTGTGTGTGTTGTAAAGTAGCCACCACTCCAAGCTCACTCCCGTGATGGACTAAAATCTCACGTTGAGTTTACTAATTTGTATTGAGATTGTAGCCCATCATGGGAGTGAGCTTGGAGCGGTGACTACTTTACATCACACACAAGGATCATGGAGAACAAAAGTAGCCGCCCTCCAAAAGGAAGGATAGCGTCAGCACCAATCCAGAGATGATTTGAGGATCTAATCTGGCAGCTGCAGATTAAAAAATATAGAAAATTACTTTTCAAATTATTTTAAGGTGATATAGCTTATATGAGGTTTGTGTTTATGTGTTCAATGAGTCACTAAGAGCTCTCCCTAGTGGCTGATCTACAAATCTCTGTATCTACGACAATAACTCAAAACATAGGAAACATATATTATGGTAAACACTGCAATTCTAACTCAAAACATATATACTCTGATCTACTCTGTGTTTTTATTTTAATTACATTTGGTTGACCTAAAACAGCAACAACATTTCAAGTGAATTGATAGATAAAACTTGTCTCTTTAAATTTTAGCTAAAGAACAGAAGAGTTAGAACTCCTGTCACTTTTATTATTAAAGGAGAACTATGAGGTGAGTGAAAATTGCTCATCCTCATAGTTCGAGCCGACATGTGACAATGAAACTGTCACATGTCTGCTCAATAGATCGGGAAGTGAGCGAACACATACCGTCGCTCGCTCACTTCTCGATCATGTCCCTGCAGAGAGCTCTGACTGATTCCCCACCTCCCCTGTCCGTTCCTCCAGCGCTGACTGCCGGGACGGACGGGGGAGGGGCGGGTACAGCTGGCTCTGCCTCTAGATAGGCAGAGCCAGCTGTCAATCACGCAGCTGGGTGGATCTCGACAGTAATGTCGGGACCCGTCCCGCCTGCGGCGGTCTCAGTATACCGCGAGCTGTAGCTTGCGGTATACTGAGCTTTGGGTGACTGGAGGACACTAGTTTGTGTCCTCCCATGTCCCTGAGGAGAACTATGAGGAAAAGCACTGACCCCATAGTTCTCCTTTAATATGTCCTGCTGGAAGCATGTACCCTTTCTTTCCTTGATGACCAGGGTCACTGTTGACAAGTGTCCATTGTCATTTCCATGGTGTGTGTTCTACAGAGAAAAAGGAGACGACATTCAGAGTTTATGTGTAGATTCAACAAAATCATTTCATCTGCGGTGGATAGTAGTCTACATTTCTAAAGGTGCGGCATTTATCCAGTGTGTTAAATAAATATTTTTTTCTAGGCAGGTTAGAAAACCCAGTGTCACTTTTGGTCTCATTTTTGTTTTTTTTCTGCCAACACCATTCATCCACTACCACTCCTCTCTCCATAGCACCACTCAAACCCTCCACATACCCTTCCTCATAGTATCATCTTCTCCACATCCCCTGTCCACAGTATCACTCATCTTCTGCACCTCCCTTTCTCCATAGTATCACCTATCCCCTTCTCCTTTCCTTTTTCTTAGTATCACTGACCTCCTGTATCTCCCCTTTTCTATAGCATCACTTATCTCCTCCACCTCCCCTCTCCATATCACTCATCTCCTCCACCTCCCTTTCTCCATAGTACAACCTATCTCCTCCACCTTTTCTTCTTCATAGTATCCCTCATCTGCTGCACCTCACTTTTCCAATAGCATCACTTATCTCCTCCACCTCCCCTCTCCATATCACTCATCTCCTCCACCTCCCTTTCTCCATAGTACAACCTATCTCCTCCACCTTTTCTTCTTCATAATATCCCTCATCTGCTGCACCTCACTTTTCCAATAGCATCAATTATCTCCTCCACCTCCCTTCTCCATATCACTCATCTCCTACACCTCCCTTCTCCATATCACTCATCTCCTACACCTCCCTTTCTCCATAGTATCACCTATCCCCTCCACCTTTCCTTCTTTTTAGTATCCCTCATCTCCTGTACCTCCCCGTTCCCATAGTATTACTTATCTCCTCCACCTCCCTTCTACATATCACTAATCTTCTCCGCCTTCCTTTCTCTATAGTATCACCAGTTTCCTCCACCTTCCTTCTTCATAGTATGCTTCATCTCCTCCACCTCTTCTTCTCCACAGAGTTATCTATCTCCACAACCTCCCCTCTCCATATCACTCAACTCCTCCACCTGCCCACTTCATAATATCACTCTCCTCCACCCTCCGTTCTCCATAGTACCATTTATCTTCTCCACTTCCCCTTCTCCATTGTACAACTTATCTCCTTCACCTTTCCTTCTTCATAGTATCAATCATCCCCTAGGCCTCCCCTTCTATATAGTTTAATTCCTCTACTATTCCACTATACCATTTAGTGGAGATTTCGTAGAAGAGAAATAGTATGATCATACTTTTTCTTTTCGGTGAAATCTCCATTTAATGCAGACACTGGAAACTGCAGATCACCATTCATTTTATCGTGAGACAATACATGAAAGGAACTAAGTTTCACTTTATTCAAGCCCTGATGAAGGGGGATTGTATAAGGGGAACCCGTTAAATTCTTTAGCTGTTTCTCCATACTGACCTTTTTTTGTATTTGACTCAAATTGTGGTGGCACCCTTGTCTGTCCTTTTTCCATTTGAATCCACCTTGGACCCCGACTGGCTTGGGGTGTCCCTGTTTATGTGGGAGCAGCCTCTTAAAATACATTCAAAACATCCTGAAGAACAGATTCATTTAAAATGTGGGTCTCCTAAAGCAGCAAGGATGTAGCGCCTCTTTTCCCTACACATGCACAAAGTACATATCCAGTCATACACATGGGGCAGAGAACAGACAGAGGCTAGTCTGAGTATAATTCTAGGTTTCTGTAGGATCCCTGTTTACTCAGTTATGCTCATAGCAATTCTAACTCAACACTACTCTCACGTTTTCAGATTCTAGACACCTCAGTGCTTTTCCCTCTGTTTGTTCAACCTGCCTTGTTATACAAATATGTTACAATTCCTGCAGGCTCATATAACAAGGCAGTGCAAAGAGCCATATGGGCTGCTGTATCAAGATTAGAGCAAGAGAACGTGTAATTATGCTGATGCTTATAACGACCAAGCTGATTCTTTAATTTTTCTAGTGCATATAGGATTTATTCTGTTGGCCATGGCTGACAGCTCCACTTTTCTCCAGGTTTCTTTGGTCCTCTTTATATATATCTATATGCAGTAACCCACAACAGCCAATCAGATGTTGCCTTACATCAGCTTTGTGTCAATAGAAAGGGCCCATGCCGGGTAAAGTGACAGTGTCTCCGAGAAGGCCATTCCCCAACCACCATATACTCACCTTACCTGTCCTCCTTTGAAGTCCCTTACTCCTCTGCAACCTTTGCTGAAATTGGCTCTGTCAGAGACCAGAGGGAATGGTGATGTCATTCCCTGGTTTGTTTAACAGGGCTCAAGCCTAGTGATTGGCTGCTAGGTCTAGGTACCATCACAGGGAAGCAGGTCACATACTCCTCCATACCTCGGTGGCGGCCAGGTAGTCTTGCCAACTGCAAAAGAGCACGGAGCCTGTGAGGGAGTGCAGGTAAGGGGACTATTATGGGGTCTTTTGCAAGGCACTGCCGCTATGCCTCCTTAAGCACAGCCAGAGTATTAAAAGCTGATTGGTCACTTATGGGCATCTGTGCTTTGCCATTTCTTTGTCTTAATACATCATCATTCTAGTCTCTGCACTTTATCAACCTACCAAATATAAAAACAACATTGACAAGTTTATTTAATAAACAGCAAAATGCGAAGAACATTAACCCTTACCAGACAGAATTCATCTTTCTTTCAAATTAAAGTTGAGATGAATCCTCACTATTTGTTACTGCAATTTGTACATTATCATAGCTCTCTGTACTGTCATCACTGTTATA